TCTAAGAAAACTTGAAACGAGAGTGAAATAAACAGCGACGTGCACCAGCGCAGCCGGTGCGATCATGCGTTATGTGCAATTCCGTCCACCAACCTGATAATGATTTTCACTGCTTTGAATTTAAATTTGAAGGATTGTACGTGAGCAGAGAACAGTCCCCCAAATTTCAGCTTCCTAGATTCCACAGTTCTCGAGATAATAATTTACCCGCCAAAAGCTTCATAGGGCGGTAGGTGATACCCGAGATCATAGGGAAACTGAACTTGAATTCGCGAGGTCGTATGTGGGCAGGGGACCATTATCCTAAAATTTCAGCTTCCTAGATTTCGAGGCTCTCGAGATAATAATTTACTCGATGAAAGTTCACGGGGCCGTATATGTTACCCGCAGGTACGGAAAGGCTGAATTTAAAATTTCTGGGTCGCACGTGGACAGAGGACATAATCACAAAATTCCAGCCCCCTAGTTTCCGTGGTTCCCGAGATAACGATTTCGCCCGCCAAAACTTCTACGGGACCGTACGCATTGCCCGCGGGCGCGGGAAGGCTGGATTTGAGTTTGCGGGGTCACACGCTGGCGAGGAACACTCTACTAAAATTTCATCCGCCTAGCTTTTGCGGTCCCCGAGTTGAATATGCGGAGCAAAACACACAAACACACGCACACTCATGCACGCACGCACACATACACACACGCACACACACACAAACAGACGCATACGCGCGCAGACATGTACACGCGCGTACACATGCGTACATATAACACACAAACACACAAACGAACCCGTGACAACATGTCCTTTTATGCGGCTGTTGCACAGCACAAAATGCAGAAATAAGTTCGGATAACAGGTCATAAATTTAAAAGGAAAAAAATCAAATTCTGAAATTTAAAAAAAAAAAAAACCCAAAAGCAAGCAGCAGACATCCATAAATTGCTAAAAAACAGCGAAAGAATGTTGGTGCAGTTCACCAGCCAATTTACAGTGAAGGTATTATCTAATGCATCACTATTTTTTCAAAAATACCTATTTTTCTGGTGCAAAATTCACAGGGCGTTAGTACCTTTTGCGTTTGGAAATCTCCTTTCTCCAGCAAATGAATGATCATTGGCATTAACTCTGCATCAATAACAGCTTGCACCTGTGCTTGATTACCTGCTGTTATGTTTGAGAGGAACCAGACCGCTTCCTGAAATACCTTTCAGTGCCAATTAGAAGAATGAGCATGCCACACTTAGTGTTTCTCTTCGGAGAAATAAAAATAAATAGCAACGCGCACCAGATAAGCCGGTGCGATCATGCGTTTTGTGTAATTCAGCCCATCGAACGATTGCCTACTAATGATTTTCACTGCTTTGTATTTTTTTCTATGCAAAAATAGTTCAAAAATTGGAAAATAGTTAAAAATCTCACGCAACAGCGCATGAAAGCTGAATTCGAAACCTTGAAGAGTGAATATCTTTCCGTGATTCCCTAGTTAATAGTTTAGCC